ATTATCTGTCCCAACATCTCCCCTCAGACGATATCATCATCAGTTCTGACACCAGACTATCATCTGTCCCAACACCTCCCCTCAGACTATATCATCGTCAGTTCTGACACCAGACTATTATCTGTCCCACACCTCCCCTCAGCCTATATCATCGTCAGTTCGGACACCAGACTATCGTCTGTCCCAACACCTCCCCTCAGACTATATTATTATCAGTTCGGACACCAAACTATCATCTGTCCCAACACCTCCCCTCAGACTATTTTATTATCAGTTCGGACACCAGACTATCATCTGTCCCAACACCCCCCTCAGACTATATCATCATCAGTTCGGACACCAGACTAGCATCTGTCCCATCATCTTCTGTGGGTCAGATGTTTACAAACCCAAAAGACTTGTGTCATGGTCAGTCCCTGAAATACAGTGTCCAACAGCGCCACCACATAGCACACATTATTACAATATTCCACAATTGTCTTCTTCAGCCGGGAATAGGTAAGTAAAGTCAAGAACTCCCCCCACCCCCTCCCAATTTTCAGGCATATAGGGCTGGACCTATATTTTATACACAAGTCAGCATTTTGTGGGTCAACTGCGATTATACAATGCGAAAACCGCTTGTCTACTGTCCAGTTGTAGCCTCCCATCTGTGTCAACTGTCCTGTTGTAGCCTCCCATCTGTGTCTACTGTCCAGTTGTAGCCTCCCATCTGTGTCTACTGTCCTGTTGTAGCCTCCCATCTGTGTCAACTGTCCTGTTGTAGCCTCCCATCCGTGTCTACTGTCCAGTTGTAGCCTCCCATCCGTGTCTACTGTCCTGTTGTAGCCTCCCATCCGTGTCTACTGGCCAGTTGTAGCCTCTCATCCGTGTCTACTGTCCAGTTGTAGCCTCTCATCCGTGTCTACTGTCCAGTTGTAGCCTCCCATCCGTGTCAACCGTCCAGTTGTAGCCTCCCATCTGTGTCAACTGTCCAGTTGTAGCCTCTCATCCGTGTCTACTGTCCAGTTGTAGCCTCTCATCTGTGTCTACTGTCCAGTTGTAGCCTCCCATCCGTGTCAACCGTCCAGTTGTAGCCTCCCATCTGTGTCAACTGTCCAGTTGTAGCCTCCCATCTGTGTCAACTGTCCAGTTGTAGCCTCCCATCTGTGTCAACTGTCCAGTTGTAGCCTCCCATCTGTGTCTACTGTCCAGTTGTAGCCTCCCATCTGTGTCTACTGTCCAGTTGTAGCCTCCCATCCGTGTCTACTGGCCAGTTGTAGCCTCTCATCCGTGTCTACTGTCCAGTTGTAGCCTCTCATCCGTGTCTACTGTCCAGTTGTAGCCTCCCATCCGTGTCAACCGTCCAGTTGTAGCCTCCCATCTGTGTCAACTGTCCAGTTGTAGCCTCTCATCCGTGTCTACTGTCCAGTTGTAGCCTCTCATCTGTGTCTACTGTCCAGTTGTAGCCTCCCATCCGTGTCAACCGTCCAGTTGTAGCCTCCCATCTGTGTCAACTGTCCAGTTGTAGCCTCCCATCTGTGTCAACTGTCCAGTTGTAGCCTCCCATCTGTGTCAACTGTCCAGTTGTAGCCTCCCATCTGTGTCTACTGTCCAGTTGTAGCCTCCCATCCGTGTCTACTGTCCAGTTGTAGCCTCTCATCCGTGTCTACTGTCCAGTTGTAGCCTCTCATCCGTGTCTACTGTCCAGTTGTAGCCTCCCATCCGTGTCAACCGTCCAGTTGTAGCCTCCCATCTGTGTCTACTGTCCAGTTGTAGCCTCCCATCTGTGTCAACTGTCCAGTTGTAGCCTCTCATCCGTGTCTACTGTCCAGTTGTAGCCTCCCATTCGTGTCAACCGTCCATTTGTAGCCTCCCATCTGTGTCAACTGTCCAGTTGTAGCCTCCCATCCGTGTCTACTGTCCAGTTGTAGCCCCCCATCCGTGTCTACTGTCCAGTTATTTGGGTAGGAACTTGCGACTGTTGGCTTCAGAGCAGACGACTTGTTTGAAAGTGAAGTTTAAAGATGACATCCCAACAAAACAATAGTCGAAAGAAAAGTTTAAAGATGACATCTGAACAGAACAATAGTCGAAAGAGAAGTTTAAAGATGACATTTTAACAAAATAATAGTCGAAAGAGAAGTTTAAAGATGACATCTTAACAAATAATAGTCGAAAACAAAATGTTTAAAGATGACATCTTAACAGAATAATAGTCGAAAGAAAAGTTGAAAGATGACATCTCAAAAACAGTAAGTAAAACTCACATATGATATGTTAGCAGAATGATAGTTGAAAGGAAAGTTACAAAACATTTTCTCAGAATGATAGTTGAAAGGAAAGTTACAAAACATTTTCTCAGAATGATAGTTGCAAGGAAAGTTACAAAACATTTTCTCAGAATGATAGTTGCAAGGAAAGTTACAAAACATTTTCTCAGAATGATAGTTGAAAGGAAAGTTACAAAACATTTTCTCAGAATGATAGTTGAAAGGAAAGTTACAAAACATTTTCTCAGAATGATAGTTGAAAGGAAAGTTACAAAACATTTTCTCAGAATGATAGTTAAATATAACGTGTCAACACAATGACAGTTACAAGTTAAATTTAAATTTGACATGCCAACGCAATTATAGGTGAAAGTGAAGTTTATTATGATTTCTCTGGAAAAAGATAATTGGCAGTAAATTTTAAATAAGACAGCTTCACAGAATGACAGTCGAAAGAAAAGTTTAAATAAGACAGCTTCACAGAATGACAGTTGAAATGAAATCACAACTCAGCAGAAAGATAGTTGACAGTAAAGTTTAAATATTTTTCCGCAGAAGGATGACGAGTCAACGCAACGATAGTCGACACAAAAGTTTAACTATGAAAACTCGACACAATGGTTGTTGACAAAAAAGTTTAACTATGAAAACTCAACACAATGGTAGTTTGACAGAAAAAAATTTAACTATGAAAACTCAACGGTATGACAGTTAAAAGTAAAGACATACCAACAGAATAAAAACTGAAAGTAAGTTTAAATATGACATCACAACGAAATGATAGATGACAGTGAAGCTTAAATATGAAAACAGAAGTAAAGTTTAAATATGACATCACAACATAAAGATAGATGAAAATAAAGTTTAAATATGACACCAGAACAGAATGACAATTGAAAGTAAAGTTTAAATGTGACATCTCAACATAACGATAGATTTAAGTAAAGTTTAAATATGATACCCGAACAGAATGATAGGTGAAAGTGAAGTTTACATACGATGAATGAACAGAATGATAGACGAAAGTAACGTTTAAATATGAAAACTCAACAGAATGATAGTTGAAAGTGAAGTTTAAATATGGCCATCAAACATAAGTTTAGATGAAAGTACAGTTTAAAAACAAAAACTCAACGAAATGAAAGCTAAAAGTAAATTTTAAATACAACATCCCAAAAGAATGAAAGCTAAAAGTAAAGTTTAAACAAAACATCTCATTCGAATGATAGCTGAAAGTAAAGTTTAAACAAAACATCTCATTCGAATGATAGCTGAAAGTAAAGTTTAACTCAATGTCTGTGTTCACTTAAATCGTTCAGTCTTGGACACGTGTTGGGACTGTTGTGACCGCTGTTGAGAGAAAACTCTAGCCATACGTCTATGTTCCTGGTTTGAGAGTTTAGCTATGAGAGACTGTCGAACTGTTGAGCCGAGCTCAAACTCTAACCAAGTGTTATTTGTGGATCTCGGGGTGCTGAACGTTTCGGTAAAATATCAACAGTCTGAGATTGTTGGTATACCCTAATGTTGTTTGTCACGACGCCTTACAGGGCGAAGGCACTGACTTAGTTCATTATTTAGTAGGAAACTCTGGAAGCGAAAAGTCAGTTGTTATTTTATCACTCCAATGTTCTAGACTTGGCTAACTGGCATCTTCAGGGTTTGGCTTCCTGAATAAACTTCCAGGCTAGCTGGGCTGCTTTTCACGCTCAAGACGATCTGTCATGGCCAAATACATACAGCTGGGGGACATATTCCCAGTCTGGAAGATCCGAAAACATTCGAAAAATGCACATATTATTGCGTGCCAAGGTCCTCGGCATCAACGTAGACACAATAGAGGCTGCAGCACAGGATTGATCTAGATAGGGTGACCGTCTTCCACTGTGTGCAGTAAGCTGCCAGGTGGCAGAGATCACACTGGCACATTTAAGGAGATAAATGATAAAGCAGACTGTGTTATGTCTGTCCTCTATCGTGTCTCATGTCTGCTTCCCACACTGGTACATTTAAGGAGATAAATGATGAAGCAGACTGTGTTATGTCTGTCCTCTATCGTGTCTCATGTCTGCTTCCCACACTGGTACATTTAAGGAGATAAATGATGAAGCAGACTGTGTAATGTCTGTTTCTACCGTGTCTCATGTCTTCTTCCCACACTGGTACATTTAAGGAGATAAATGATGAAGCAGACTGTGTTATGTCTGTCCTCTATCGTGTCTCATGTCTGCTTCCCACACTGGTACATTTAAGGAGATAAATGATGAAGCAGACTGTGTTATGTCTGTCCTCTATCGTGTCTCATGTCTGCTTCCCACACTGGTACATTCAAGGAGATAAATGATGAAGCAGACTGTGTTATGTCTGTCCTCTATCTTGTCTCATGTCTGCTTCCCACACTGGCACATTTAAGGAGATAAATGATGAAGCAGACTGTGATATCTGTCCTCTAGCGTGTCTCGTGTCTGCTTCCCACACTGGTACATTTAAGGAGATAAATGATTCAGCAGACTGTGTTATGTCTGTCCTCTAGCGTGTCTCATGTCTGCTTTTCACACTGCCCTAAAAACTGTCCACTCAAAACGGCTCTAACATATTTAAAGAGCTTTTACAAACTCGCGGGTTGGATTTAGGTGTCATCTTTGTAACTAAAATCATTGAGTCTCACTGGAGGAAGAAGCGACTTCATCTTTTAGATGAACGAAGAACATTTTAAGCTAAAGGAGACGAATGTGGGGGAGCTAAATGTCAGCTCCAGTGGTGAGTGGAGGGAGGGTTCAAACACTGCTGTACTTGTGAGGTGTAATGTAGGCTCTGAGAGTGTTGATGCTGCTGCTGCTGTTGCTGCTGCTGTTGCTGGTAGAGGTAAAGCTGCGACAGCGATGTGGTCGGGTGGTTGGCGTGGGCAGACTGGGGTTGTGGGGAGTGCTGCACTTGGCTGATGCTGTCTCCATGTGTTCCGGGACTTAATCTTAACAAAGGTCCTAAGTCAGTGCCCACACTAGGGATTATGCTCACATCAGCAGTGCTGTTTGTGGTGGTGGCAGCGTTGAGACCGCTGCAGCTGAGGGCGCTCTCGTGGCTGTTACAGTTGGCAGGGTCGGTGTAATTTGGCGACATCATGCTGTGCCGCGGGCTAATGCTGGCCCTGTCTCCCTCGGAGGGGAGACTCCCCCACTGTCAGACTGGCGGCACCGCTGGGTGATGGTGATGATGCTGGTGATGGTGGTGAATGTTGTGGTGGTGGTTGGGATAGTGATGGCGCTCTATGGCTTGAGGAGAACATAGAAAATGATGAGGGAACGGCGACCCTTCGCTCTTGACCAGCGACATGGGCAGGCTCTGACGCATCTCCTCCAGCATCTTGGACTGTCTGTTGTTGAAGTCTCGGCTGTAGTCAAGGTGGTGCCCGTGAACCATGCTGCGCTGATGAGGGGCCGTCGTCGCACACATCTGCTGCATGGCTTGCTTCATGCTATCCTCGCTAAAGTCTCGGCAGAGGCCATCCCTGAAAGATAGACACACCACAATCAGTATATTTATCTATCTATCCATTCATCCATCTGTCTGTCTATTTATGTATTCATCCATCCGTCTGTCTATTTATCTATCTATCCATTCATCCATCTGTCTGTCTATTTATGTATTCATCCATCCGTCTGTCTATTTATCTATCTATCCATTCATCCATCTGTCTGTCTATTTATGTATTCATCCATCCGTCTGTCTGTCCGTCCGTCCGTCAGTCGGTCCGTCCGTTCCGTCTGTCCGCCCGTCCGTCCGTCCGTCCGTCCGTCCGTCCGTCCGTCTGTCTGTCTGTCTGTCTGTCTGTCTGTCTGTCTGTCTGTCTGTCTGTCTGTCTGTCTGTCTGTCTGTCTGTCTGTCTGTCTGTCTGTCTGTCTGTCTGTCTGTCTGTCTGTCTGTCTGTCTGTCTGTCTGTCTGTCTGTCTGTCTGTCTGTCTGTCTGTCTGTCTGTCTGTCTGTCTGTCTGTCTGTCTGTCTGTCTGTCTGTCTGTCTGTCTGTCTGTCTGTCTGTCTGTCTGTCTGTCTGTCTGTCTGTCTGTCTGTCTGTCTGTCTGTCTGTCTGTCTGTCTGTCTGTCTGTCTGTCTGTCTGTCTGTCTGTCTGTCTGTCTGTCTGTAAGGGATGAAGGTAAGACATGACTGTATGCCTAATTTGTGAACCTTGTGAAGAAAAATGGTAAAAACTGCATTTCTTATAATCTATGCTAGGCTGTATGTTATACCACATTTATCACTTTGCTTGTTATATAATACACTAGCTGTACCCGGAGAGGAAAGAAAACAGCTCTCAGCTAACAGTGTCTGTCATATTCCTCCCCCCCCCCCCCCCCCCCCTTTCGACCCAGTCATATCTCCCTCTCCGATGGATTGAAAAATCATCCATGGCGAAATTATTAAAATAGAAAGATTTACGAAATGAGAACATTAAAATAATATTTTAAGCTCTCTCTGCTAACTGTGTCTGGCATAACCCTCCCCCCCCCCAACCCACCCCCCGTCCCCTCCACCAATCATATCTCCCTCTCCGAAGGATTGAAAAATCATCACCTGGCGAAAGTATTAAAACAGAAATAGTTAAGAAATGAAAACTTTAAAATAATATTTTAAGCTCTCTCAGCTAACTGTGTCTGGCATACCCCCCCCCCTCCCCTTCTTCCCTGCTCCCCCAATAATGTCATCCTCTCCGAAGGATGGGAAAGTCACCATGTGACGAAATATTGTAACTAAATTGGGCTTGGCATCCGTGTCCACCCAGACTAAAATAGGTAGCATTAACTTGTGCAGACAGGTAAATGTGGCCAGTGTAACAGCTACCACATCATCCATCCAGTACCAGTACTACTGCTACCACTAGCACCATCACCATCACAACAACAACAAAAACTGTCACAACTGTGTAGGTCTGTGTAGAAAAGATGAGTTAGCGCCGCATGCTGTCGTCACTGGCTATTTAGTTTAACGTTGCCCCCGACATGGAAAAAAAAAAACAACCTCATCACGTAACGTGATGGAACCCACAGTGAAAAGTACACTATACTCACGAATAGCGGAGAAAAATACCCCGCACCCGTCATCTCTCCCTCTCCGAAAGGAACGATTTTTAACTAACCTTGGCATCCGTGTCCACCCAAACTAAACTGGACTGTGCGCCGTCTTAGTTAAAAGTTTCTGTCATCGCCGAATAGTTTTTGATCGAGAAGCGTCGCGGGAAGGCTAAGTGGGACCTAACTTATATCGGATATTTTTGGGCGAAGAATCACATCGCCGCTGTCGCAGGCTAGCTGTAAACCCCAAAACCAAAAAAAAAAAGCGTAGATATTGCAGCCTAGCCATAAACCACAACACAATGTGCCAGCCGCCCAGTTAAGGGCTAAAAAAAGTTATATTACATAGCGGGGAATCGAACGCGGGTCACTCTCATGATAGGCGGAATACTTATAACTACGCTACTAAACACTCAAGCAGAAAGTGGAAATGAAATTATATAGCAATGCAAAGTTCAATAAGAGCTCAGCAGTCAAAAATAGCCAATCAACTAAAAACAAATCCGGGCCGGCAACGAAACGAATAATAATTTGACCGTTGCTGGGGCTACTTCGTTCGTGGTTTGTGCAATTTTCTGACAAAAAATCAGGCTTTGAGTCAAAGGCAACGTTGTGTAAAAATTTGAAAGCAATCGTTTCGGTAGGTTCGGAGATTTTAGCTAACAAACTCGGAAAATTAAAATTTTTATTCATATAGATTATATAAATAGGTAGTACTTCCGTTTTTGCATCCCAGATGTTTTTTATTTTTTATTTTTTCAAATACTTGAAACTACAGAGGTTACTTTTGGTGTAATGTTTAAAATACAATTTTAGATTGTGTGTCCTCAAAGGCATTCAACGTAAACTTTAGATTTTCTGTCGTAAATAACAGTCTAGACTTCATATCTAACATGTTGCATTCAGTTTTCCATCTTAGATGTTCTCTCAACAATTTCCATCCTGGTTGCTCGTACCTAACAGTTGTAGCCACAGAGGTAAAATAACTTTCCCTGTTATAAATATCAAATATCATTTCATATTCAATGTTACTTTACAAATTGTTGCCTAGATGTTACGAAATGGGTTCTGACACACACACACACATTGCGCTAATGACGAAGACGTTGTACTTCTGTCTTACTCTGGACTGTAATTGTTTTCTGCCAAACGTTTTGCTGTCTATGTTTCTGTTTGACACGTGTAACCATCGAAACAATCGGGTGTGTTTGTTTGCTTAACAAGATCAAGATGTTTGTTTAATTGTAGTGGCGCTAGTAGTAGTAGTAGTGGTGGTGGTGGTAGTAATAGTAGTAGTGGTAGTAACAGTAACAGTAACAGTAGTAGTAGTAGTAATAGTATTAGTTGTAACAGTAACAGTAGTAGTTGTAGTAGTGGTTGTAGTAACAGTAGCAGCAGTAGTAGTACGTAATAGTAGTAGTAGTGATGGTGATATTAGTAGCACCAGCAGCTTTAACAGTAGAAGTAGTACCAGCATTAGTAATTGTAATAGTAGTTGTAGTAGTAGTAGTAATAATAATAATAATAATAATAATAATAATAATAATAATAATAATAATAATAATAATAACAATAAGATTATGATGATAACTCTCATGCTGATGATGACGAAAATGATGGTTGTGGTGATGATGTTGCTGTGATCACTCGAAGTTGATATACGGATTAATGAATTTCGTTTAAAAAAACAAACACTCCAGAGCCAGAAGCCTGACGAAGCCGATGTAAATGTGACAGTTGAGGTGATAACCGAACAACCCAACTTCTAGACTATCCACAACAGCCATCCTGCCAGAGTAAGTAGGTCACATTATCTTTGGAGAAGGTGTGTCTGGAACACTTGGGGAGGCCAAGTCTCCATTGTTGTATGACCTATAGCAGCCGGACTGTTGTAGTGCCCCCGCACCCTCCACCCTAGATTGTACAGTTGACAATTAGCAGAGACAAAAGCCAGACACTCAGGCTCCAAGTGCTATTGTCTCTTAGTTTTACAGCCCTGGCCTTTTGTTAAACGTATTTGCATTCCTCCAGTTTTACCTCAGTAGTTATGTTTTCTTGGTAGAATCTGTGACATGCTTCCTTTCTTATTGCAATTTTACTGTCGATAATGCCAAATATGGGGAGAGAAGGGAAGACGTGGGTGGGATCTTCAGTCTGAAGATTTTGGAAAACCTGACAAATGCAGTCGCCACAAACTATGCATATTTGGATGTTTTTTACCGTTAAAAAAAAGTCCACCAGATTGCCTAGGATTTGAAGCCGGGTCTCTTTCACAAACACAGAGCTAGCAAAATGCAAAAACCGGCTGGACGAGCTGGTAGCTGCTGGCGATCTTGACCGTCGTCCAGTGCGGGGATTGATGACTGCTACAGTGTGAAAGCTCAAGCAGAACAGCGCTGTTTTACCTATTGTGTGTTCTGTGAGGTTGCTCTAGCAGAACAGCGCTGTTTTACCCATTGTGTGTTCTGTGAGGTTGCTCCAGTAGAACAGCGCTGTTTTACCCATTGTGTGTTCTGTGAGGTTGCTCCAGTAGAACAGCGCTGTTTTACCCATTGTGTGTTCTGTGAGGTTGCTCCAGTAGAAGAGCGCTGTTTTACCCATTGTGTGTTCTGTGAGGTTGCTCTAGCAGAACAGCGCTGTTTTACCCATTGTGTGATCTGTGAGGTTGCTCCAGTAGAACAGCGCTGTTTTATCCATTGTGTGTTCTGTGAGGTTGCTCTAGCTTCACAAAAATGATCAAACCGTAAAACCAACCAACCAACGGACCATAGCAGGAACAGTAACGATCGGGTGTTTCTGTGTGTCTGTGTGACTGTTTTATTGCTTTAGCGCGCGTAGGCATGTTTAGCTGCACACACACACACACACGCACACGCACACATATGAGGATGTTTGTGAGTATTTGTGCGCGCGCCTTTTCTGTAAATGTGTGTGTGTGTGGAAAGAAAGTGTGTGTATTCATATGTGTGAGTGTGTGTGTCTTTGTGTTTATGTATGTGTGCCCTTGTGTATGTGTGTGCCCTTGTGTGTGTGTTCCCTTGTGTGTGTGAGTGCCCTTGTGTGTGTGTGTGTGTGTGTGTGCGTGTGTGTGTAAATGATGCAATGACCTACATTAATTATTACTTAATTGAAGTAAATCAAAACCTCAAAATTTCCCTCAGCTCAAGTAAAAAAAAAAAAAAAACACCAAACATGAACGATCCCAGTTATAAAGACCAAATTATTGATGAAGACATCTTGGATATTTAACACCGTGAGAAATCATTAGGAAAAAATCAAGTTAATAGCTCCCTGAATATTTCAGCTGAAGAAAACTCCAGAAGTAATTATTGCCTCTTCCACAAAACAACGGCAAACAAGGTTGATCCCTCGGAGAATCGCTTGCTCTCAGGAGGCGAGGATGAAATCGAACAACAATAGAAAGTTGAACCGGTCATCCTT